TTCTTTCAGGGACATACTCTAATTTAATTTAAGTTACGGCCATTAATCGTTAAGTTCGAGAGAATAATCAGTACAAATTTTAACACCCTGTAATAAAAAATAAAAAATTAATTGGTCGAAAAGCCTTTATATAGCTGCAAAAGGAGAAAAGGCTGGACAGCCACTTGTAGAGAGAGAGAGAGAGCAGAACCAAAAGTTTAGAGCGTATTGTATAAGGTGAGTAGGGTGTAACATGGGGAACTTGAAAAGATGGAGTCATATAAAGAAAGGAAGCATGTTTCCTGCCTCTTTATGGGGAAACGATTGTTCTATCTATCCCCTTATCCAACTTACAGTAATAACGATAAAATGCTAACCTCTTCTTACTGCTAAAGCTACGCTACGCACTAATAATTCTTAACACGATTCTTTAAATCAATACAAAGTTAGTAAGAATTGATTTTGATTCAATTCGAGTTTGGAAATTAAACACAACATATATACAATAATAATAATACAAATTTGACGCAACACAAATTTAACATACACTATTACACATTGGAGGGACATGAGCTGAGTAAAATTTTGAAACCCAACCCGCACAGGTAGTCTAATGGTGTGAAGTTGGAATTGGACGAATTGTAAACTTGATCAACAGGGGTTCGATCCTTGTTAGTATCTTATCTTTCGAGTTTAACTGAAACATGTGATTTGCAGGTGATTGTAGGTATTTGAGATTAACTCTCATAAAAATGATTCTAAAATAACCTTGCCTTGGAGAAATTTCTTGTTATGGCTTCTTCTAGCCAAATTTAAAATCAAAGACATTGGAGAGGCTAATTAATAAACATTTCAACTTTTTTCTCCAGCTGCTCTAAAAGCCTCTCCTCTGGATTTACGTTGGACCTATCATGAAGTAAGGCCACTAAAAAAACTGGTCTTAGTGTATAAGACTCATATCATTATAGAGTTTGGAGAGAGTTAAACGTACTCAGTCTTACTTTCACATGCAAAAAAATTGTTTATGAGAGTCAAACTCTGAACATTCATAACACAATTGAATAATTTTAAGAACTGTGGAAAATTGAAGGTTGGTGAAGCCTATTAAGAGCCGTGGAAAATTAAGGACTGTTGTCATAGTAGAAATTACACCGAGACCCATTATTGAGGAAAGGTAGACAATTAATAGGAGGTCCCTGCATTGTAGTGGTTGGTGCCTTAATATATCCTGACAGGAGGGAGGGAGAGAGAGAGAGAGTACCCCACAAAAACACATCATCTGAACACTAAATAAACCCCATGCCATCTCTTTCACCAAAAGCCCTGCCAATCTTACCTTGTATTGCCAAGGAATTGGTTGGATTCCCAATGCTTTGACTGCACCTGATCTCTTTCAAACTTCCTACTCCCAAACTCTCTGGGCAGTGTGCTCACATGGGTGCCCCCCCTTGTACCCCACCAGAATTTCAGTGTTACTCCCCACCCATTCATTTGCAGGGTCCCTTTCAATTGAAGGGCGAGATTTGAGTGCGTTTACGGTATAAAAAAAAAAAAAATTTGATATTATATCCCTTACTATTTCTTTGCGTATTCATACCATTTTCTCGATAGAGTTTATCAACTTGTGAGTTGTATACACTTTTGGGGTTTACTAGCTATTTTTTGGGTGAAACTGGTTGTTTTTGGAGTAAAACTTAAAAAACTTTTTTGGGCTTTTTTTCCACCGTATGATTAGATGTGCCAAAATATGATATAACTTATTAATACGGTACGAACACGGCACGAACACGGCCTAAAATTAGAGAGTTTTGATCTTCTTTAAACTATCCGTTTAGTAAACGAGTTGACCAGACATAATATAATTAATAAATGAATTGGGTATATGTAAAGTCAATTAGAAGAAATACATAACGTGACTCTTTTATATATTAATTATACATGATTCGTACACGACATGAATCCGATATGACATGATTCGTTAGACATAAATTAATAAACGAATCGAATATAAGTGGAATATTATTTGATACGAACCTGTCTCACGATTGACAAGTCTAAGTATGGTACCAAAAAGTGAACCTCAGTATAGTAGCGTTTAACGTGATATTATTGTACAAAATAAAATTTGTACAAATTTTTTTTTTTTTTTTGAGATTTAATTTTAAATTTTTAGTGTAAATTGCAATTAAATGGGGTCAAGTTATGAAAAAATTAAATTATTAGAATCAAATCCTAACACAATCTTATTTTACCATAATCTTACTAAATTAAATGGTGATCTTACTTCTTATGTTGCAACTTGGTACAGTGGTCCTAGCTACCCACAAATTAAAAGATATTTTTGCATTTTGAAAATGCATTTGTAGAAAACAACAAGAAGTTTGTGACAAGGAGATGAAATATGACCACAAGAGCTTAAGGACTACAGATTAATCACAAACTCTCTTGCAAATTTGTATGGACCCCTGGGTTATTCATCATGTGCCATTATCTGACACTTTGGTTTGTTTTGGGGGGTGTTTGGCCTCTGTTGAAACTCTGTCCTGCTTTACCCATGTAAATAGGAAATTATTTCCAATGATATATGCCATTTTTTTCCAGGTTCGGTTACGGTACTGAAAAATAAGGTTTTTTTATTTTTTATTTTTCAGTACTTATTAATTTTTTCAACCAATGATACCAAATCTCCACATAAAAATTAATGATTCGGATCAAAATTCAGCACCGTACCTCTGTAGCCTTATTTTTTTAAGATAAAGTTTTTTATGTGAAATCCAACTGCTCCACAATTACACCATGCATTGTTCTATAGAGCTTCCAAATGCCTAATTCAAATGAATCCTGCATGCATGATGCGGCAAACAATGGACAAGGACCATGAACACGGCCCCTAGTGGATTTGGCCCAAGTCCATCGTTAAATTTGATTGCTGTGAGCATCAACATTATCAATTTGATTATCTTAATTGTCTTGATTGAATCTTCCACTGCACTTTGATTTTTGGTTTATTTTTTCCTGATCTGGAAAATCGGTTTCGATCAATAAGTAGTATCTTTCTTGCAATTCAAGTCATGGATTTGAAGTTCACAATTGACCTAATGACCACCGGCTTTATTGTTAGACCTTAAAGTAATGGGGGTTCAAATCTCGTCGTTCGCCTCCCTGTAAAAATGTCTGACCAAAAAAAGAAAATCGTGGATTGAAAAAAAGCATTAGTGGAGAAGCCACCCTAAAGTATTAACACTAAACTGCAGAATATTTATTGGGCTAAATATTGATCCATGTTTTAACCATGGATGCAGTAGTTGGGCTTAGTACCAGCAATGTCTCTTGGGTCAGGCTATAGTCAGGTTTAAAGTCACCTTAACATTGACTTGGGCTGATGCCTTCTGGTCCAGTGTGGCATCTTAGTGTATGTTAAAGGACTAAACACTATATTATATTAAGCATCCAGCAAAATGAAAAACGGGCCCACAGCTGCTGCACAATTGTGGGCTAGAAAATGGGCCCTTCAACCACCAGAACCATTCCGGGTAGGGGCAACCTAAAAAAACATTTTTAACTTTTGGGTCCGTAATAACATAGTTAATAAAAAGCACATTACATCATTATTGTTATTTAGAATCATTCTTCAAATAAAAAATAATAAGTGAGTAAATTAATTTAATAACTACCCCTCCCTATATCAAAATAACTAATTCATGTGTAAAAATGAAATTCATTTTATTTATTTAATTACTTTTTTATTAAATAATGGCATCATCACGTGCCATTATAGATACTAAATATTTACTCAAGTGCATGACCGTTACAAGTACACATGCTTTCTAAAAACACACGGCCTATGTTTTGAGGTGTTAATTGAGCTGAATTTTGTGAATTTGAATGTCAATTTATGTAAGTTATTTTTTAAATAAATTTAAAAAATTATTCAAACTTAACTTATTTATGGTGTGTTTCATAAAAAAAAAAGTTGGGTGGATAAAAAAAGAAAGATGAAAAATAAGGGAAGAGGAAAGTATTTCATTTGTTTGGTTCCAATGGAAAAGAAAAGATGGTAAAAAAAACGAAACACTCACGCCCACCATTTCTTATCCGTCAAGTTTTGGACGGAAAATTGGAGAGAGAGAGGCAGTCTTTTTGTTGAATAAATTAATTTACTAATTTACCTCCCTTGCATCAATGCCCTTAAAAGGTGTGCCGAGCATTCAAAGACACATCTCCACCTATTTGAGATTTATTCTTGATGATGTTATCCACGTGGAAATGGATAGGTTGCTTAATAAATTATTTTAACAATAATTTTTCTTAAACTTCCTCAAATATTATGTTTTTTCAACCCACTTTATTTCTTTTTTTTTTCCCTCTGACCAAAAGGAATATTTATTGAAAAGTTTATTTGTAATAGAAAAATACTTGTTATATTTAAGGGTAAAATGGTAAAATAAATTCATATTTATTTTATTTTCTTTCTTTTATTTTCCTTTCCTTTTTACTTCGATACAAAATAAAAGAAAATCAATTATTATAACTTTCTATCCATTGTACCAAATAAAATAAAAAAAGAGAGAAAATGTGTTCTTTTTTTAATAGATGGAAAGTTTATCCATCTTAATTTTCATTCATCCTATTTTTCATCCCTCATGCCAAATTGATCATTAAAAAATAAGTTAAATTCAAATAATTTAATTATTTTAAAGGTAAATGAACCAAACTTTATAAATTTGGGTTAAATCTTTTACACTAATTTTTTAAAATAAATTAAAAAAATTATTTAAGCCCAACTTATTTAAATCGAGCTCACGACTAATCTTATTCGAGCGGGATATTCCTACAATCCTACTCACGTCAACCCCCCAGCCTCTCCAACTGTCATTTATAGGTCCCCATTATCAAGTAATCCTTTCCCCGACTCGAAACAAACGTCCAAGATTTGTCCACGTCATTCTCTCGGCACATAATGTTTCAAGCCGCCCAATTTGAATAATAATAATAATTATCTGTCTCTTTTCTGTTTCTCGTCTTCGCTATAGAAGGTCCTGTTTCTTGCAGCTTCGTTTTCTTTCCTGCCTTAGATCTAGCGAGAGAGAGAAACAGATTCGTCGATCTTTCCAAATTCTTCCAAGAATCTTTCATGGATACATCGCCATTCAATTCTACTAGAGTTTCTTCTGTTCGTTCTCAGCGCTCCCATCTCTTTTTATCGAAAACTTTTCATCTTTTGTTTCGTTCTCAACCTTGTAGTCCCTTCTGACTGTATCTTCTACGAGTTCACATCGATGGGTAAACGTAAGTTTTATGCCTACGTATATGTTATTACGCTTTTATTTGTTTCAATTTTCCAATTCTCAATCTATTAATTTTAGGGGTTTTGTTCGTTGAAATTGTGAGAAACCCTAATTATGAAAAAAAAACCTTCGCTTTTTGAATAGTTCTGATTTTTTTTTGGTTCTTTGTTTAATAGAGATGGAATTGAGATATGTTTGGTGTTGAATTTGAATTGTGCTACGTTGTAGGAAAATCCCAACGTAAGAATGCTGCGACGTTGGATAACGACGACACTGATAGTGTGAGTTCCTCGTCGACTGTCCGGTCGGACCATATGCTGGTGTCTGGTGGTGAGGAAGTTCAGCTTGATAAAGAGAGTATACTTGATCAATGTTTGGATGCTTTATATGAGAAGAGGTACTTAATTAATGTTTAATCCAAATTTATGTGTTTGTCTTGCATTTATAGTTTTGATGTAGGAAGTAATAAAACCTAATTTTTTGTGTGATTCATCAAGTTTGAACAGTGGTATATTTATGAGCCTAATGCTATCTTCTCATATATGTGTGTTTCGTATAGGGGTTCCACGAGAGAGAAAGCTTTGGCGTCAATTATAGAAGTCTTTAATAGCAACTTACAACATGAGTTTGTGGAAATGAAGTAAGCTTATGTGCTGTTTTCATCATTTCATGTTATTTTGTTTGGTCTGCTTTTATGATCTCTTAGGCTAACATGTGAGCATGTTTGAAAAATTCCCCTTTGAGAAAAGGTGGGTCAATTGTGCTCTGTTTTAGTTGCATATCATTTTTTTCAGATTTGAAGTTGCTTTCCGATGTAGTTTCAAAAAACGTTCTGAATACCCATTGTTGTTAGCAAGCAGTCTGAATGAACTTTCATTTGATTCCCCAATTCACTCCACTCCACCAATCTGAATATTTCTTTTTTCACATTGTTTCTTGGGTTCTTTAAGCCTGTTTAGTGAAATTGGAATAAGTATAAGATGAGAAAACAAGAAGAGGAAGCTATTAGGCATTGATCCATCCTTCTGACGGTTGGTCTGATTTCAATAATATACCTAGTCTTACGAGGTTTCTCACATTGATGTGGTGTTTATTTCCTTAGGTTTGCAACATTGCTGCATCAATGTCTGAATTCCCTCAAGAAGGGATCTGCAAAAGAGATAGCTTTAGCATCTCATGCAATCGGTTTGTAGTATTTTACTCTGCTTTGACATGCTTGTTATAATAGTTGGTTTGGAGCAATTTTAGAAGGTTTTGCTTTCTTTGTTAGGGTTGTTGGTGCTCACAACTGGTCCTGGGGACAAAGCAAAAGAAATATTGGAAGAATCAGTGTCTCCTATTTCAGAGGCTCTTAAATCACGGTCTGAAACATCAAAGATATCATCGGTATGAATGATTTCAATGCATTGATTACTTGATTTCATTTGCCATTTGATTATCGTGATTTCATTTGGTATTTTATGTTCACATGAGATACTGATGCACAAATCTGTAATTTTATGGATTGTGCTTTCATGATTCTAGTTACTAGAGTGTTTGGCTATCATCACTTTTGTTGGTGGTGAAGAGCCGGAGGAAACAGAAACATCAATGCAAATAATGTGGCAATTGGTTCATCCAAAACTGGGTCCTAATGTATGTATCCACATCTTATAATTTCAGTTTAAACAACGTCTTATCACAACTTGTTTACATGCGTTTTGTATTTATGCCTTTGTTCACAACTTGGTGTATTATGTCGTGGATGAAGCAATATTACCTGCTTTTTGTCTGTGTTTTAGTTGGCAAGTTCACTAGTTGTTTTCTAGTTATATATTTTATTTGTTTGCAATGGTTGTGATCAATGTAATTCCCATCAACCTACCGAGCATTGATACATAATGCTGCTTGTCTTCATGTATTGGTCAATCAATTCGTGTTAATTATTTTTGAATGACGTGATGAATAACTAAAGCTGTTTTGAATTTCAGGTTGTTGCCACTAAACCTTCACCAGCTTTAATAACAGCAGTGGTATCTGCTTGGTCCTTTCTGCTTACAACTTTGGATGGATGGACGCTGAACCCTAAAAGTTGGCAACAGTGAGTAAATCTAGGTCTTAGCAGAGTGATTTCACTCTCTCATACAAATATTTGTGTGCTTGTATGCACCTGGCCCTAATGCACCTATTCCCATATATTTCATTGCTTCCATAAGTGGGTGTCCAAATTCTGCTGGTTTTAAGAAAACACTTGTACCTATATACCAGGCACCGTTAGACTGCCAGGCTCCATTACACCCAGGTGCCAACTGATGGATTGCAAAAGGTGGTGGAACCGAGCTTTGGCCTAGGGGGGGCATCCTCCTCCCCCCTTCCCCCTTCTCTCAACTTTCTAGAATTATAGTTATACCTCTTAAATTTGCCCCCTTAATTTGAAAAATTATACTTCAACCCAAAAATTATATTCTTGTTTTTCACTTTACATAGCCCCTCAAGTTATCAAAGTTATATTTTATATACTTAAATTGTGATCTTGGTTTTGCTTTACCACTCAACTATTCATTTAAACACATTGCACCCCTGAGTATTCGAAATAGTCTACTGAACTGTATTAGTCCAAAATGTAATAATTTGAGCAAAATTAAAATTTAAAAGTTCATGCAAAAAGTTAGCAATTTGAATGGTTTATGGTGCAACGACTTCAATTTAATAATCGAAGGAAAAAGATTCAATCAGGATAATAATTTAAGAGAACAAAGTGTAATTTCTCCAAACCGTATATCTAGGAATCAATATTGTATAGAATATGTATTTAAGAGATATGTAAATACTCTATCTCATTTTGTTTGGATTTTCACACGTTGTATTGGCCTAAAAAAATTTAATTGTACCAAGTGATTATATAATGAAATTAAACTAAAAAAATTTATTTTTTATGAATGAATCTAAAATCATCTTGCATGTCATTGATTTGACATATTTCAATTAATGTTTTGATTTTTTGAAAATTAACTTATACTATAATTAATCCTGTGAAAGTTATTTTCATAGTTTCTATACAACAAAAAATTTGGCGCTAATGATAGCTCATTGAATAAATTTTTTGGACTATGATACTATTTGCCCCCCCACGATAAAATCTTGGCTCTGCCCCTAATTGCAAGGTCAACAATGGGTGCCTAGCAAATTCTGTGAGAAAATTACTTACCCTTTGTGCAAATGATCCAGGTCCATTTCTTATTTTTCTACTCTGCTAGACAAGGACGACAGGTCTGTACGCATTGCAGCTGGTGAAGCCCTTGCTTTAATTTTTGAGACCGGAAATTTGGAGAAGTTCTGTGGTGAAGTTAAAGTATCTGGTGACATCTCCATTACTGAAGGAAACAATTATCGGGAATTTGTACATATCCGGGGGTTGAGGGGAAAAATCCTAAATCAAGTGAGAAACCTTGCTGCGGAGGCAGGTGGTAAAGGTTCTGCTAAGAAAGATCTTAACAGCCAGCGGAACTCATTTAGAGATATTCTGGAATCTCTTGAGGTACTTCATCAGTTTCTGAACAGGGTCTGTCCTTGTATGTTAGCTTGTATACTGATCCTTATTTAAATGAACGACAGGATGGCTATAGTCCAGAAACTTCAACGAAGATTGGTGGAGAGTGCCTGAACATAGCAACGTGGGCTCAATTGATACAGGTTCCTCCTCTTCTTCCTTTTGATTTTTTATTGTGGATGCCCCCACGTATTCAATGTTTTCCTAATCTCAGCTTCTTCACAGTTGAACTTTCTGAAGCGCTTTCTTGGGGGCGGATATGTTAAGCACATGCAGGTTCTTTTTCTTGTCCATATCTTCTTTGGGCTAAAAGGTCCTTGTTCATTTGGTGTATGTTCTCGCCATCTCAATTGCTCTTTTCTTTTTGTTTGGATCCAAATAGGAAAATGAATTTCTTCACAATGTATTTGGTTTCACACCAAAGACGAAGCTTCTTTCGAGGAGTGAGCATCATATATCTGCTCTTGAGAAGGTTAGTTTGCACCATTCCCACTGCAATCTTTTTATTGTTCATACCTATAAATCTGTTGCAGAGTTTGTTGTGCTGATAAATAGGTATTTTCATCATTAAAACATCTGTATGTATTTCTTTTGTGTCATGATGTGCTATGAGGACATTGCCCTTGTTACAGGTGGATTCATTAACCGAGATGTTGTTCATATGTGGAGATCTACTAATGTAGTTACTATCGCTGTTTAGTTTAATTTGGTTCAAGGTAGTGTGCATGTAACGCACACAATGCTGGTTTGCATCTCACAGTTGAATATGCTTTTACTTAGCAAATGAGATTTGTCTTGGCATGCTTATACAACTTTGAATGTGAGGTCGCTTAGTTATTTGATGGGCTTCTGAATATACATGGCAGTTCTATTCTCGTGCTTTATCAGTATAAATATTAGCGCCGAAAGCATATTCAAGATAATGTGAGCGAAGAACCTTAATTCTCTCTTTATGGATAGTATTCTTCTTTGGGTTCTGTATGCTTTGTTGTTGGCCAGTTGCTTTGGGTATGTGTTTGCCATTCTCTGTGTATTTATATCAGGTTGAGACTTCTTTAGATGAGCTTCCACGTGGTTTTGCTTGCTAGCTTCTGCTAAGCCGCCTCCTCCCCTCTTCCCCTCCTCTCACACAGACACGTAAATGTAATTAATAATCTTTTTATGCAGAGGATGTACAAGTCACCAAACTCAGTTCTTAATAAGGCAAGGACCCAGTTGTTGAACAAGCAGCGAATGTTGTCCCAGGTAATTTCTTTTCAGTAGATGGTGGTCAGTGGTCACTTCTTCCTTTGCCTGCTGTTTAGTTGCATATTGAGTTGTAAATTCTAATAAGAGTAGGAGTATTAAGATGGTTTAGACCAAGGATCAAACTTTGTCATGCTTCTGCCTCTACTACATTTAGACACCCTTAGACAGCTAGGATTTAGGATGCTCTTTGCACTGGAGTGACTGGTAACCTTTACATTGGCTGGGCTCAAATTGCCCGTAACTGGTTTGTCAAGCCTTAGGTCTTGGCTCAAAGTAAATGTTGCTTTCTCAACTTGTATACCCTGGTACCTGTCATTGTTTGCTGTTAACTAGCATTTGATATGTTGATTGCTTTGTTCATGAGCAGGATAAGAACACTGGCCACTATGCAGTTGGCTTTGGTGATGAGGAAATTTAGAGTCTGAATCAGCTTTATATGCTCTTGATAGGCACTGCAGGATTGAATAACCCAATGAAGGGCTTCTAAAATATTGCATCAACGTTATTATAATTCAAATTTATATCAAAATTAACCTTAATTTAGTTACTGGTGGTAATGAACTTGTACTCATATCAGGGCAAAAATATGTTGTACCTTCAAGAAATTCTTTTTGTTCTTATTTGAGGCAATTATTGTGGAATAATATATGGTAGTCATGCTAAGGGCCATGCACTGAAATTCCATTAACAGAATTTGTGGACGCTCTCCAGTGTGGAATGGTAATACTTTGAATCCCAAATTATGGATTCTAGTAAATAGGAATCATTGGATGAGTGAGTTATACTCTAAAAAAGTCAACGAGACCGGTGATGCCAAAGTCCCTACTTATGTGGGATTCAGAATTTGGGATCTCTTGTGGGATGATATGCTAATATTGAAACAGCAAAATACTTGAAGCGGCTGATGAAGTGGCATGTGCTTTAAATCTAGGAAAAGGACCAGAGGTTAAGTCTGTTAAAATATGACATGACACGTTTAATCGACACGAATTAAAAGAGTTTGAGTGAGACTTTAACGGGTTTGGGTGATAAACAGGTTAACCTGTCAAATATGTTTAATAATTAGGTCGTGTTCGGGTGAAATTTATCAAATTGATCATTGCTCGTTTACTAGTTAAAAAAAATATAATAATAAATTAATAATTATTTTAAAAAAATAGTTAAAATTAAAATATTTATATAAATATATGATAAATGTGTAAAAAACAATTTTATTTCAAAAAAAATTAAATACACAGTAGTCACTTATCCCCTTTTGTAGCGCTCGATGCGGGAATCCATCCCTTCTGCTTGTATCTGATATTGAAAAACATTTTACTGAAGAATCTCTCTTCGACTCTGAGATCCAATAAAAATCTCCACTTTGCTGAAGCTGAACATCACGAACCATTCAATAACATGGCAATTCTGATCACCGAGTGTTTGATCTCGGTACTGATAGTTGTGTTCTTGTTGTCTTTGTCCACGATCGCCAGCTCGAAAACTCCATTCATCAGGGCTCACAAGAAGGCCACCCTTAATAAACTAAAATTCGGCGCTTAACGAAACTCAGTCTCCATCGACATCTACAACCAAGGACCTGTGTATGTTTCCTTCGATTCTTCTAATTTCCATCAATTTGATTATGTCTAGTTTTGGAAATGTTACTTTGAGTGGTAGATCAAAATCTCATTTTACCATCACCATCAACAACACTCACTTTACCCCCCCCCCCCCCTCCCTCCTTTTTTGCAGTGCTTACCACCACCATCGACAACACTGGCAACGACGAAGTGGGTCTAATATATGGGCATCAACAACAATGGCACTGGCAGTGACGAAGTGGGTATCATAGTGCTTGAATGGATCCTGGGGTGGGTTTATAGTCTATAGACACCGAAGACACAGTAAAAGTTTTTGGCCTCAATCCCACGTCGACAAATTGAGACCTCCCATGCCTATAAAATCTTTAGTCATTAATACTCTGTTTGGTACGATGAAAAAGTGGGAGAATAAAAAGTTGGAAGGATGAAAAATTAGGTGATAAATAAAACATCATTAACTTTTTTTCTAATTCACCAAAGTCAATCCCTTCAAAATCGGAAAGAAAGTGGATGAAAAATTAATTATTTGCGTTGAGATGTATTTTATTTGTCTATATATTTTTTTATATATACATATATTATTTATACATTAACTTCATATAAAAATATAATAGTAAAATATGTATATGTATATGTATGTATGTGTATATATATATATATTAAAAAATTTTAAAAATAAAAATAAAAATTTTGAATTAAAAAAAAATATTTTTTCCATTTTAACTAAGGTTGAAAATTTTCGACTGAATACGATGACATGACTCGAACTGGATACGAAAATAAACAGGTCAACTCACAACTCGACACGACATAATTAGTTAAACAAGTTAAGTTAGGTTTGATTAATATTCGACACAAACTTGTAATGACTCGACACAAATCTGATACGACTTGACTCGATTGTCACCCTTAATCTTAGTCAACGCAAAAAAAAAATAGTCATTTTTATTTTTCATCCATCCAATCAAATACAAAGGAAGGAAAATGTATATTTTCTACTTTCTATCATTGAAGGATAAAAAATGTATCCCTCATATTTTCTATCCTTCCTACTTTCTATTCCCCTACCAAACGGAGCATACCTTTTCATTTGTTTTTGCAAGTGGCAGCCAATTGAAAATTTTTTAATTAAGAGAGTACAATTGGTCAGGTAAGTAATGGAGTTAAAAATTTTAATATGATAGTTTTTTAGTTGCGGGTTAAAATTTTAATAGAATAATTTTTAATAAAATTAAACGGGTTAAACGAGTCATGTCGTATTATCTGTTTATCGTGTTCGTGTTTAAATTTTTTTACTCGTTTATTAAATATGTCGTGTTCAAATTTACGTATTTTTCATCTATTTAACTCGACACATGTGGCACTCATATCGGAGGCATCCAATGCTGCATCATGTTTCTGTATACACATACTAGTTGTGTCCATGGATGCTGTTAACCGGCCCAAAATAGATCTGAAGTTTAATAGTTGGCCCACTTGAATTTGAGCCTGAGCTCAAATTCAATATTTTCTAACGGAGAGTTTAGACTTGTCCTTAAACTCATTTTTTGGTCCAAAATTTTGCAATTAAGCGCACTTACAAAATCATTTTAAAACCCAATTCAAGAGCTCGTCTGTCCTTCCGCTCAATGGTTTAAAAGTTAACTATCAAGACGTTGAAAGTTTAGTGGTCATATATAAACTTAATTAGGATGTGTTCATTTGTGATGCAATTTTTTCACTATTCATAAATAAAATTAGAAAAATTTGTCAGGAGGTACACATTTTTGAAAAAATTCTTGGAAAAGTCTATGGCCCAAATTTTTAAGTTAGTACATATATTTTTTATAAAACATTTGATAGCGAAGTACATATTTTCAAATTTTTATATTTAATAGTACTTAAATGCCCTTATTTTATGCAATATGTCATTTGTGAATAAATAAATTTTATTTGGTAAAAAAAAAATACAATATGTAGTATTTTCCTTTTTTTATTATGTTTTTATTGACTGAGTGGTTTCCTATTTTAATGGGCAATTAATTGTTTGAATTTTAAAAAGATTACAAAAATATATTTGACAATTAATATTTTTGTTGTATATTGATTTAAACTGTAATTATTATTTTTCATATTTATCTTTTTCAAATAACCACCGATACTCATTATTGGTCTTCTATAAGATGAGTCATCAATTTTCTAGTATTTGAGGTCACACTATTTTTAAAATTACGTCACTTTTTGATGTCACACTACTTTTTTAATTATGACATTATTTTTAAAATTATATAACTCTTTGATGTCACATTATTTTTTTAAATATGCCACTATTTTTTAATTATGTCACTTTTTAATGTGTTAATTCACTATTTGATATCTTTTTTTGATGTTATATTATTTCTTAATTATATCACTCTTTTGTTTAAGAACCCAAATTCACGAGGTTTTTGAATTTTTTAGGATTTGGGGGTTAACAAGTAAAAACTTTTTACATAACATTTTAATATTGAAATCCAAATAGTTGTTCTTAAAATCTAAATAGTTGCCGTTTTTCATTGAAAGAAATCCAGTAGCCCATTTTTATGAAAGGATTGCATCAATTTAAAAGTTATCTCCTTAAATCTTGCAAGAGCATTCCGAATTTGAAGGAGTTTGAACGAAACTCCATTGAAATAACAACTCAATTAATGAATTGATTTTGTTTCTTAATTCGATTTTGCTAATATAGTAAATAGATAATTCAGTGTATTAGAGACATTTTAACCTGAAATGTACTTCTTAACAAAATAATTTGGTGATTGAACTTTTTAACAAATAAGTTATTAAAAGTGTATTGGCCCACAAATATCCCATAAAATTATTTATTTACTTTTTGTCTATTTTAATTTTACTTTTAATTTAAAAATATAATTAAATAAAATTGTATATAAATAAAAAGCTAGCTCGGAAGGTTTACCCAGCAAGCCCACAAGGCCCATGAGTGACGGGTTAGGTTATGAGTAATCTACCATTACCCCAAGTCCACCTTGGCCCACCCAATAACTCATCAGAATAAAATTTTGGGCCTACCTTAACCAGACCCGACCCAAAATTTTTTTACAATTTGGCCCATGGACACCCGTAATTGCAACGATCATCCCATCATCATCTTGAGGGGAAGGGGGGGATTTAAAATATTAGTAAAAATTGAGGATGAGTCCTTTTAGATAAATTTATAATGACTTGAATTCTAGAGCAAAATTTATTAGGAGGTAAGCTCATGTTTAAACTTATATGTAAGTACTTAAGTCCACTTATTTTTTAAATATCAAAATTATAACTAACGGTGTTAATTTTGTCCAGTTATAGAAAGTCAAACATATTAGATTATTGAAGTATATATGAAAACTATTGATTGAGTTATATATGGAAACCGTTTATTAAATATTATGATAATTAATGAACATTTTATATAAAAGTTATATATTCTGATATATATTATGATAGTTATATTTGAGAAACTTAATATACAAATAAATTATTCGTTTATTAAGTCAAAATCAAATTACAAAATTTTCTTAAAACCAATAATGTATAATATAAGGAGGCTAAACAATGCTAACAGAGTTTAGTAACACGAATGTTAATATATAGTAACATTCATGTTACTATATAATTGAAGTTACAATTAAGGTCGTGTTACTAGTACAATTGTATTACTATATTGACACTAATGTTACTATAATGAATTTTAACATACAATTGCAAATCTTGAGACGTATATTATGTAACATACACTTAAATATTCACAATAACATCAAAGTTTTGTGCTCAGTAACACATCTAATTTTATAAAATACAAGACAATAGTTTTTTACAATAACATCAACTTTTGAATGATTTTATCGAAAATACGATCCACAAATTAAAATTTTACAAAATGACTAATAACACACAATCGGCAGTTGAATCACGACACTCAACACCAATTGTGAACTTCAAAATTTTAAACTTCATTTTTCGATTTATGTACCGTAACATAAACTTTTTTTACAATAACACAATCAAGGAATACTCGTCTTGCGTAACAAAAAAAATCAAACAAAATTGAAATCTATAACACTTTAATTTAACACTAATATA